ACTTTGAATCAATCTGACTGGATGATCTGGTGAACTGGAAAGTGACCTGAGATGACATGATGTGAATTGGAGCTATAGAAATAAACTGAATAGAATTGAACATAGTTGGGTCAGGAGGTCATAGAGATTCCTTTTTAGCGAATGTGTTGGAACAAGAAAAGGTGCTAAGAAGACGCTTTGTTTTAGACAATCATCACTGAAGGTTGGACAGCAGGATCTGTCTGTTTGATCCTCCTGATTTTAAGGCATTTCAATAGTTACTCATAAGAAGACTAACTGGACGCTGCCATTAGCCTTTAGCTTCTAAAGTTTCATAAGCAGGAGTGCTTCTCTTCTGGCCAAGAACGCTGCTATGAAATAAAGAGGATTAGAAAGTCTGAAACTTCTACCAATAGTGATGGTAAAATTTAAACAAAAACCTTGATTATTTTTGTCATTTGAATATGATGGAAAGCTACAAAGGTGATAATGAAGCTGTTTTAAATATAATAAAACCAATATATGTAAAACAGACCAGGAAGTTCACCAAAGGAGGATTTTATGCGGTAATGAAAGAGGTTTGATATATTTGAGAATCCAAAATCCTGCTGATGGCGTCTCTGTTGTTGTAAAGGTGAAAAAAGAAAATGTCATCAAACAAATGTTAATATTACAAAAACAATAACCTGAGTAAAAACGTAAAGGTTGATTTCATTAATTACACTGAAAAAAAGATTATTAAATTAGATTCTTTCTGACAACTTTGGGCCTCCTACCCTGACATCCTGCAGTTTGCATACAGAACAAATAAAGGGTTCCAGGATGCAACCATAACCCTGTTGAATCTCAATGTCAAACATCTGGAGGTCCCCAGAACCATGTCAGGGCAATGTTTGTGGACTTCTCTTCAGCGTTTTACACCATCCAGCCCCACCTACTGGTGCAAAAGCTTTTACACCGCTTCCAACTGGATCCCAGCATCTCCGGCTGGATACTGGATTTCCTCACCAACCGATCCCAGCGAGTGAGAGTAATCGACCATCATTCTTTTACATCTACAGGTTCTCCTCAAGGTTGCCTTTAATCTCCCGTTCTCTACATCTTCTACACTGATGACTGTCGTTCTGAAACTGACAATCGCCACATTGTCAAGTCTGCGGACGACGCTGTCATTGTGAGCCTGCTGGGTGACGGTGAAACAGCACATGGCCCCATCATGGACTATTTCACAAACTGGTGCCAGGAAGCCATGTTGGATCTGAACATCACTAAAACAAAGGAAGTGCAAAACCTCTACAACCATCATTAATGGGCAAAACAGTGAAATTGTTCACCAGTATAAATATCTTGGGTCTATCATAGATGACAAATTAACAGCAACACAGACATGCTGTGTGAGAAAGGGCAGCAGCGCTTATACTGCCTCAGAAAGTTAGCCAGGTTCCAGGTTGACAAGACTCTGATGACTATGTTCTATAGATCTGTTATAGAGTCCATACTTACCTTCTCTGCTGGTACACAGCAGATGGCAGGTATGATGGCAGGTATGCAGTAAAATCACAGGTGTTTAACAGAAAACCATGACTGAAATGTATGAAGATCAGGTAATCAGGAAGGCGTCCATCTTGGATAATTACACCCATCCCCTACATAATGAATTCCAGTTTCTATCCTCTGGTTCCCGTTTTAAATATCCACCAGCTCAGACCAATAGATAGGAACAGTCCTTTATTCCCTCTGTTTTATCCACCTTACTTGTATCTTTTTATAATATTTTTGTGTTTCTTTCATTTTATATTTGTGAAATGTGAATGTGTGTGTGAAAGGTGTCCTACTACTGCACAAAAATTTCCCATACTGGGACAAATACAAGCTACTGAACTGATCCATCATTACATTAGAGTCTACCAGAATATTTCTATGAATTTTATTCATAGAAAACATGAGACAGAAATGGTCATTCCAAGCTACAGAAAAACCCGAAACATATCAAATTATTCCAGAAATGCACTGCCGAGTCATCAGGAGGTTTTTATAGGAGCTCAGAACGGGATCTAAAACACCGCAGACCCCGCCTCTGTCACAGTTTTAGATGGTTTCCTTCACGCCACGCTGGGACATGAAGGAAGCCATCTATGTTAAGAAAGAAAAACCAACCTTAAAGCTTAAACATTACAGATAAAGGACAATCAGCTAAAACGGGAGTAAAAGTAACATTCACACAATCAAAGCAATAAAATGAGGGAAAAGCATCAAATAAAGTCCAACGTCTTGCTCGGTATCAACAGCCAAAAGGTGGGTTTTGACAAAAGATTTAAAAACAGTCAGAGAAAAATGAAAAGATGAATTAAAAAAACAAAATGTTTCTGATAATGTATGGAGTGATATTTGTGTCATTATTGTGGAAAGCAGAGCTCAGATTTTGTCAATTAAAACTAAGAAAGGAAATAGATAAAAGGTTTTAGAGTAACTGCTGTTTTCTCAGATTTAGGTGATTTCATATTTTAATATTAAACTTTACATTTTTTATTTGTCTTTACTGGTTTTATATTTAAGATTATTATTATTTTTTTTTTTTTTTCAAATATTCTGTTTTGTAGTGTCATTCCTTCCACACACAAATTTGTGTTTTCCACATCACCTCTAGGGGGCGAGCTTTCCTCTGGAGAGAGGGGGAAGATGAGTTTCTATTGGTCTGCTGGACGTTAGCAACATTTTTATTGGTCAAGAGCGAGCGTTTTGATTGGGCTAGAAAAGAAGAGAATAGCAGCCTGGAGATGAAGAGCGCCTCACCTGGAATGTGGAGATTATGGCTGTTTTCATGGAAGCAGTTGGAGGTCTGAGGAGAAGCTGGACGGAGCAACTGGCAGCGGCATCACCTTCGCTTAATGCAACTTATTGATAGAAAATACTTAATAAAATAATTATACGGTTTCCTTTGGAGGCCTTTGCACCGTATTGAGTCTCAGTTTGTTAGTTTCTGCCTGTTAATAATAACTTATACAAGTTTCTAATTTATTAATTGTAATAAGCCTACCAACTAGAAATCCATTAATGTTACAATATCCTGTCTGCACCCAGATGACAGGAGGAAGTTTTCCCATCATGCACCAAGCACTGCAGTCGCAGTAGTTGCTTTTGATCAACTCCGGCGGCTGGTGTCGTCCTGATCTTTCAGACGTTGGACAGAAGCGGCGTGCACCGCGAACGGACCTGATTTGATCTGCAAAACACTGTTTGAAAAGAATCCAGCTCATAAAACTCAATCTAAGGTCTGTCAAAACGATTTGGAATAAAAAAAATAAATAAAAAATGAAATTATAAAATTATGAGAAAATTTAAAATTTCATTTGGAAAAAATATACAGCAAAATCTTAGAAAAGAGCAAAGTACCTCTCAAAACATCTTTTGGGGAATAAATGTATTTTTAAGTTTTACTTATTAATTGTATTTGTTTTATATTTCAATTCACAAAAAGACTTATTTACAACAATATTGGAATAAAATTCCCTCCATAAGAATCTGAAATATTTAAATGAGACCCAATGATGAAAGTGAATAAATCTGCGATAGGCACAGGGAAGTTTAAGTTCAAAGTATCTATCTATTCGTATTTCTAAGTTTTGATTTCTATGTTTATTGCTTAATGTCTTTAGTTTTTGACAAATTATTAATAAGTGCTTAATTCAAAGTTGGATGTACTAATTTTTGTTTATTTATCTTTTATTTTAATTTCAACTTCAGTCCTTTTGAAATGTTCTTTTACCAAAATAAAAGCCACTTCTATCCCTGCTCTGATGTTTTAGGTGGATTAAAACCACGGAGCGTTAGGGCCAGGCTGGAGATGTTTTGATTGGAGAATAAAGTCCTAACATTATGAGATTAAAGTTATAAAATTACAAGAACGAAGTCACAACCTTACGAGATTAAAGTCATAAAATTACGATAAAGTCGCAACGAGAATAAAGTTATAAAACTACGAGTATAAAGTCATAAAATTACGAGAATAAAGCAATAAAATTATGAGATTAAAGTCATAAAATTACCAGATTAAAGTCATAAAATTATGAGAATAAAATCGCAAAATTATGAGAATAAAATCGCAAAATTACAAGAATGAAGTTACAAGATTATGAGATTACAGTCAATAAATAACGAGAATGAAGTTATAAAATGTCGCAACGAGAATAAATTTATAAAATTACGAGTATAAAGTCGCAATGAGAATAAAGCCATAAAAATACGAGAATAAAATTACAAGAATAAAGTCATAAAATCACGAGATTAAAGTCATAAAATTATGAGAATAAAGTCGCAAAAATTATTAGATTAAAGTCATCAAAATTAAAAGAATAAAGTCATAAAATAACGAGACTAAAATCATAAAATTATGAGAATAAAGTCGCAATGAGAATAAAGCCATAAAAACACGAGAATAAAATCACAAAATTACAAGAATAAAGTCATAAAATCACGAGATTAAAGTTATAAAATTACGAGAATAAAGTCGCAACAAGAATAAAAGTCATAAAATTACAAGATTTAAATCATAAAATAATGAGAATAAAGTCAGTAAAATTAAAAGAATAAATTCATAAAATAACGAGATTAAAGTTGTAAAATAACGAGAATAAAGTAGTATTACATTTTCTTCCCTAAAATGAGGATTGTCGAGCATCATGTGAAGTTATGATGACTTAATTCTCGTAATTTTACGACTTTACTCTCTTAAATGTAAGATTTTATTTTTGTAACATTACGGCTTTAATGTTTATAACTTTTCCACTTTATTCTCATAATGTTAGGACTTTATTCTCGTTTTAAAAACAATCTCTAGGCTGGCCCTAACGCTCCTTGGTAGGATAATGTGTTAAACGTCCTGCCATACATGAAGGGACCCGGATGAGGCCGGCTGCCATCTTTCCTCTGTCCCCTCAGCGCTGCCGGTGGGGCGGAACTCTCTTCATCGATCAGTTGGTTTCTAGGAACCGCCGACAGACCTGGCTCTCCACCGTGGCTGCTCGTTACACATCTGACTCCCAGCTTTGCCAGCTTGACACCGAATCTCCTCATCTTTCTACACCATGGGAGAACGAGAGGACCTGGTTTATCAGGCCAAACTCGCCGAGCAGGCGGAGAGATATGACGGTGAGTGGAAGCCTGGGCCGCCGGCCGGGAGGGGGGCGCCTCCACGGCTACTATCTGTCTCTCTTTACGCTCAGTGATAGCTGGCTAGCTAAACTAGCTAGCTCTGCTAACCCCGTTTTTAATTGGCCTGCTCTTTGCTGACATGACGTCACACATGATCTGTTGTTAAGGGAAAGTAGTGAAAGTTAAAATCCCACCAGGAGTCGGGAAGCAGCTGGATTCAGGAATATCGCAGGAATTCTGTGGACTCCCGCTAACATTAGCGGAGTGGCTAAAACAAAATGGCGGCTCAGTGAAGCGTGAGCTGTCAGGGGGGCTGCCTCCCCATGCCTACCCTGACATTAACGCTCAGCCTTTATTAGCATCTGAGCTTCCTCCCATCCAACAGGAGCTCGATGCAAAGCGGAGCATTACACGCGTGGGAGTGGGGAGGCAGCTGTTCCTTTCTGTGGGGTGTTTCCTGCAGGCGGGCTGCGCTGATCGATCACTCCGCCCCACCCCCCCCCGGTGTTTCGGGTCCACCGGTCACACGTTGCCCGGTGCCGGTCAGTGAACGCACCATGACTCATTGACAGGAACCTCTGGGCGGCTAAACTCTAACCGGACTGGAATGTAGACAAACTTTGCTCCAAGTCCTCCTGAAGCCTTAAAATAGCTGAACTTTGATAAAAAGAAGGAGCCGGATGTTGATCAGGGATCCGCAGCAGGCTGCTTCATCTGATGGAATCACTGAAATAAAATAATGTGATGTCAAGAATTATTGAGACAACATTCCCTCTAAATCTCCCCTCATCGTCCACCGCAGGGCAGGGCCCTCTCCATGCTAGTCTTTCCTCTCAGCCTGTAATGATAGTTATTGATTCACGTCTTGTTGGGTATTTTGGAAAAGATTCATAAATTAAAATGTAACCTTAACTTGGCTTAGACTTGACCTTTGAGCAGAGGTCAGCCCAAACACCAAGAATAAGTCCTCCATCCGCCCAGGGACGGATTTAGGAAATGTGGGGCCCTGGGCAAAGACAGGCAGGGGGCCCTCTGAATGGAGAACACATCAAACAGCCCCATTCTCCAGATGTAGAAATGTTAATAGAATAGACATCCTTTCTCTGTTCTAGGTTGTGTCCCTCTCTTCTTGTCCCTTTTCTTCTTGTTTTCCTCTCTATGTTTTGTACTCAGCTGACTTTTCATGCTGTCTCTAAAGGAAT